TAGACGTACGTGCAGTTAGCGTCCGATTCGAGTAATTCTGCCGCCGATTCGCCCAGGAACATGTTCCACCTGTTCCAATTGTGTTCCAAGTACAGTTTGACGAGCCCTATCGAATGGTGTATTCGGATTTTACGTAGCTCAAATTATGTGTTCGCAAACCCGACAATACCTGTCCAAAAGTGGGAGAAATGACTCATCACCATAGTAATTTCACCGCCGATTCGTTCAGGAACATGTTCCAAGTGTTCCAAATGGTTTCCCAGTACAGTTTGACGAGCTCTACCGAATGGTGTATTCATATTTTCTGTAGCTTGAAGCCAGTTTCCGGAAATTCCTGAATACCCTTCCAAAGTGCAAAACCGGCAAGTGATTCAACCGCGGATTCGCCCAAAGAACATGTTCCAAGTGTTCCAAATAAGTTCCAAGTACAGTTTGACGAGTCCTATCGAATGGAGTATTTGGATTTTACCTAGCTCAAATTATGTGTTCGCAAACCACAAAATACCTGCCCAAAAGTGGGAGAAATGACCCCTCACCATAGTAATTATACCGCCGATTCGCCCAAGAACATGTTCCAAGTGTTCCAAATGGGTTCCAAGTACAGTTCGATGAGCTCTATCGAATGGCGTATTCAGATGTTTCGCACCTCGAAGCCAGTTTCCAGAAACGCCTGAATACTCTCCAAAAATGCAAAACCGGCAAGTAATCCTACCGCCGATTCGCTCAGGAACATGGTGCAAGTGTTCCAATTGAGTTTCAGGTACAGGTTTTTGTGCTGTACCTAACACTGAAAACCGGTTTCCGATATCTTCAGACATGCGTGCAAAAGTCAAGAATAGTGTTTTTTCCCATGGAGCATCTGCCACGCTGTGAGTTATTCCATGGCCGATTCGCTCAAGTGTTCCAGGTTGTTCCAGAAGATTTCCAAGTAAAATTCAATGTGCTATATCCAATGGTAAAATCCGCTTTTTGGATCTCTTGAAATGTTCCTGGAAAAAGTGGAGAATAGTGTTTTTTCGCAATGGCTCATTGGTTGCCGGCAGAGAATTTCCAGCGGCCATGGGGGTGCTGCATTTTTGCAGTTGCGTTAGTCACTAGCAAAGGGGGAGGCGATAAGTTGGTCTAGTTTTATGTAGCACACCCTGTGGAATTTAGTGGTGAAATCTTTCCGAGGCCTTCTTAAGTAACCAATCGAAACCATATTTAGAATACTCAAATTTTTGTTGGTTGGTATTGTAGGGTGTCTGAAATATCTGGCAATCGCATACTGCGTAGGAGTTTCTCACTTGTTATTCGAGGGTTTGTACTGAAGATGATGATTCGAGTGCTCCAGTGATGAAATGATCGAATTTCGATACTTTTTATTGTAGTATTCGAATCCTTAGCTGGGAGAATTTTGAAAATAGTTCTAGAAGTAGGGGATTTTTCAATGAATTGAAATTTAGTGTTTGTTATACCGGCAGTCGCATTATATTGAAATTACAATTTGAACCTTATTATTTGATGACTTGAGTCATAAATGATTCGAGTTCTCGGAGCTATTAGTTTAGTATTTGAATTATTAATTAATTGAAATTTGAATGCTGTTATTTAAGGACTCGAACTATAAACGTATCCAATTTTGAGAGTTGTTGTTTGAGCAGTCTAATTATAAAGGAATCGTAATTTAAATATCATTATTTGAGTAGTGGAAATGTAAACGAATCGAGTTTTAACGGTTTTATTTGAGTACTCGAATTATAAATGAATTACATTGAATATCAAACATGTATTTTTTATTATAAAATAAATTGTAATTTTTAAAATGAGCAGGCGAGTTGTTCTTATTTAAACCAGCAATCGATTTAAATGTAATTGATTAGTTCTTCCCTTTTTTTTTATTTTTATTTTCTTTTTTATATTTAAATAATATAAGTGCATGCCTATTTTTCAAAGTTGAATTTGCGGTTCTATCTCACAATTATCTTCAGAAGATTGATGTTGTCATCAAAAAATAAACAGTTTCATTTTAAGTAGATGATAAGTTTCTTTTTTTAACAAATTTCAATATTGTTGTTAATGTAATATGAGTAATACTGATAATGATATTGTCACTATGAGAAATAAATTGGTAACAGCGATTGTTGGTTCATCAATCGCTCGTAACATAATGGTCCAAAACATACAAATCGAAAAAGATTAAGTGCGTCTTCGTGCAAGATCAGGAAGTGATTGCGCCGAAGCTTTGGCTTGGTTGCAATCAAATGATGGTCAGACATTTATGAAGTACGTAATCTATTAATATTTATTATTGGCACAAATGATGTTCACCGAGTGGGTGCTGATGAAACTGTCCGACGTGTTGCATACACAATTGAATCAATTCGATACTTCTATCCTGGTATACATATAGTTTGGCAAATGTTGCAACGACGCACTCGTAAAACTTGGCTCTTGCCAGAAGGTGAATCAGTTCTTAATGAAATTAGTCGTTGCAATGTACGACTAACCCAATTAGCTGCCCAAATGAATTTCGATACAATTCAACCAGACATTCCAATTAACTATATGTATGATGGTTTACATCCATCAGCATATGGAGTTAACATGATGGAAGAGACGATTCGTCATTATTTAAGAACAAATAAAGTCATTTGTTCTTCATTTTCAACTGTTCCCTCTTTTTCTTCAACTATTGTATCCCCTCCACCTTTAATGTCGATAAATCTTTAAATGTTCAATGTATCAGAATTTTTTAATAGAACATAACTTCCAGAACTTTCTTACGATTTCTTCTCAAGTGAGGAGGTGCCAATATTATCTGTTTCAATTACTTCAGATATTCAACTAGCTATAAAGATTATTCAATCATAAGAAAATACGAAAACTATTGTACTATAGAAATAGATGCATAACATTTAGCTATAGATATTCTCAATGAATATTATTTATCTATTTTTATACTTCATTAATATTCTTCAACAATGCCTACGCTTCAATCATAATCTTGATCAGTATCTGTAGTTCAATATTATACTGGAATAATATCTATAGTTCAATTATATTCTTCAATATTAACTATTCTTCAACATTTTTCATCAATAGTATCTACAGTTTAACATTATTCGTCAGTAATATATATAGTTCAACATTATTCATCTATCGATATAGTTCAATATTATTCACTGCTAATAGCACCGAAATATAAATATAAATACATAAGATTGAATTATAAAAAAGCATGGCATCGATCTACATCAATAGACGGACGACATTGATCTATAGATATTATTGATGTGTAAGATTCATGCAGAATCTCTATATTTTAACATTGTTCATCCATTGATATAGACGCACAATATTATTCATTTTTTTTAGCTTCAATATTATTCACTAGTACTAACACTGGAATATAAATATGGATACATGAGATTGAACAATAAAAAAAAATTGAATGATGCTGATCTATATCGGCACATGAATAACATTGATTTATGTCGATAAATGAACAATATTCAACTATAGAGATTTTCCGTGAATTTTATTGCTCAATAATATCTATAGCTCAATATTGCTCGTCTCTTAATGTAGATTGATGTTACTCACCTTTTTCATAGTTCGAATGTGTGTATCTATTATATATATTTCAGTTTTATTATTATTGAATAATATTGCACTATACAAAAAAAGAACAATATTCAACTATCGATATTTTTTATGCATATTATTCATCAAAAATAATTGCAGTTTAAATCTTCGATTAGATTCAGCTAAAATTCAATCTGTTCGATTTATTATCTTCTCGTTTTTTTCCCGTTTATACATACATATTTTTTCACACATAAGAAAAAGAGAAATATAAGAGTAAAATACAAAGACAAAGATGAATAGTTCTCCTCTACTGCAAGTCAGACTATTTAACATAATGATGGTAACGTCCAAGATGTTCTTTTGTTGGAATGTCCTTATATTCAGAATAGAAGAAAAAAGTGATAATTGATTGGAATTGTAACAGTCACACAGAAAAGTAAAAGAAAAAAGAGGAAAAGAGAGAAAAGGTACCAATGTATCGTAGAGCATTCTAACAAAGCTAAACGTATATATATAAATGTATAATTGAATGGAAATTGGTTCCGAATATTTGAAACCGAACCGGTCTCATCACTGATACCGATATAGTTCAGTGTTATTCATTTTTCTTCATAGCTCGATATTATTCACTGATAATAACATTGGAATTTGAAATATAAACGTGAACACATGAGATTAAACTATTAAAAAAAGGATGCCATTGATCTATATCAATAGATGAAAAATATAGACCTATAGATATTGTTGATGAGTAAAATTCATGCAGTATCTCTATAGTTCAATATTGTTCATCTATTGATATAGATCAATGTCGTCCATGCCCATTTATTTTATACTTCAATATTATTCACTGACAACGACACTGGAATATACATATGAATACATGAAATTGAACTACGAAATTAAATGAATAGTATTGATCTGTGTCAGTAGATGAAGAATATTGATCTATACATGTTTTCGATGAATATGATTCATCAATGATATTGATAATTTAATGTTATTCATATTTTTTATTGCTCAATATTGTTCATTGGTAATAGCGCTGAAATATCAATATGAATACATGACGTTAAAGAATAAAAAATGAAAAATATGAAACTTTAAATTTAGACCAACAAGATTAAACAATAAAAGTAGATGAATAGTATTGAACTATATCATAAGATGAATATTATTGAACTACACAATAGGTAAACAACAATGACGTAAAAAAATCGATCAAGTCATTAAAAAATTGATATTATGAATGAATTTTATGAAAGCACAAATATGAACAAATAATGGTGAACTATAGAATTTTTTCTCATTTGAGAATGTTTCGCAATAAGCAGCTGCGTTATGTTTCGTATCCAATGAAGAACTGTAAAGAAAGAAAAAAGTGAAAGAAAAAAACAGAGCAAGAGTGAGCAAATGAAGAGGAAAGATAAATATATGAATATCATTCATCTTGCAACACACATCATCATATCGTTGATTCAATTAATCTATATTATACAAGGAGTACATATATAGTAGAAAAGCTTGTTTATATAAAAAACGAAACGTAAAACTCTATTTATCTCATCTGTTAAAAATAAATGTAATTCAGATTCAACACATCCTATAGATGAAAATTCTCTGAATAATCAGTCACCAGAGCAAATAGGAGAAAATTTCATAAATGATAAATCAAGTCCAAAAAAGGTAGAGGGTAAACAAAGTATTTCGAATAATATTACTGAAAAGAAATTTATATCTGCTGTTAATGAGTTAGGTTTCTCTCAGAGACAACTTGATAATGAGACATGGCGTTTAAATGAATTAACTCGTTCTAATGAATCTGTTTGGGGTCGTTTGATATCGAAATTGAAATTAAATCAAACCGAAAGTATACGGCATTCTATGTATAATTTTTGGCGACGAAATCGCACAAAAATTGAAAGTGCTGTATATGAAAATCGTCTTGATTCTGTTAAAGAGGATCATAAATCAGACAAAAAAAATGAAGTGGAGCTTTCTTCGTTAAATTCGGAGATTAAGCCGTTAGCGTCTGATGCAACTCTTCCGAAGCCACAGACTCGTTCGACAGTTCAACACAAGTTGAACCTACCGACAATAGTTGAGGCATCATTCATTATGAACTATAAAGACTGGAAAGATATTTATGATCGCTCTCAACGTAAAATGAAATCTGGATGGACGGATGTGGTTGATGAAAGAGTGCGCTCATGTAATTTTCGCTGTACCCTAGCTTTTGATAGACGTAAGGTTGGTGCTGAAAATTCACGTAAAAAGAATTGCTCTTTTTTTCGTGCTCTCGCTATATGTGACAACAATTCGTGCGAGCGAGTATTTGACATTTTTATCAAAGATGAACCTGTACCACGAGAAAGTATTGCTTTTCGCGTACGAGTCATTGGAGACGAAAATCATGAGGGACCGCCAGTAGCCCGACAACTAACTGGAAAAAAGAGATTACAGGTTGGAAAAGCAGCGAATGCGATTGATCCTGTAAAAGTATTTCAAAGAAAAGTAGAAAGTGCTGATGAAGAAATTTTAAAAGCTCGTAATTTCACCGGTTGTGAAACTGCTGAAGTTATAAAACATGCATCAGCAGATTACCGGAAAATATATCAACTTGACGAAGATATTTTCCGAGAATGCCGAATTAGACAACATATACTTGAAGAAATCGATGTGACGTCCGAAGAAATAAAAGGATATGTACAGGTTATGGCTGAGAAACCATTTCGTCTTCATCTTACATCAGAACCGCAAATATTACGTTATGTTAGTTATTGTGAAAATAACTCTTACTCTCATGTATATATCGATGCAACCGGATCGATAGTCAAGAGTTTACCGCATCAAAAATCAGCTCTAATGTATGCAGCTATTTTTAAGGATGGAAACGATCCGACCAATGTAATTCCATTAGGACATGCTATTCTTGTTGATCACACAGCAACGAGCATAAGCTATTTTTTGGGTACTCTTCGACAAGGTATCGTTACTCTCAAAGCGAAAGTTGTTCGACCTTCTTTTTTTGTCACCGACTTCTCTCCAGCAATATTTAATGCTATTTTACACACATTCAACCATGAAGATATTCGTGGTCATTTAAAACGATGTTGGAATGTCCTTTTACGAAAATATGATGCGAAACAAATTCGTTCTAAGTCATTTTTGCGCTTTTGCTGTTCTCACATGATGAATGCCTTTGCTAGAAGTCTTTCCGCTACCAATGTAGCCAAAAACGTAAGAAAAAAGGTCATGCATGCATTCGGTTTGTTCATTAATTGCGGTGAATTGGAAATGTCATTTAAGTTTTTAAAACGTGTTTTACATATGTTTGGTAACCCGCATGCTCTGATGCAGAGAACATTCTTGAGAAATTTTTAGAAGCTCCATATGACGACGAGAATATTTGTGAAAAGATCGGTTCTTGTGATTTCTAAGTGGAAGACAGTTCCATTGATCCTTTAGATGAAGTTGACGAGAATATCCATGATAGTAAAACAATTATTCACGAATCGCCATTTAATATTGAAGCTATTCGTCGATTTCCTGAGCTCTCTGATTTGTTGGATTCCAGAAAAACATATGATAATATAGTGAATCTACTTTTTTGTCGTCGAATTATTTTGGTTTTTTATAAATGGTTTGCTTATCTACCCTTATGGACATCTTTGCTTACCGACTTTGAGGAACGATATTCTAGTGATCGAACATCAGTTGACATTCGTACATATGAACAAGGTCGTCTGTCTAACGCTCAAATAGAATCATATTTTGGTGTCCTAAAAGATTCTACGCTTGAAAAAAGAACAAACCTACGACCAGCAGAGGTGATTGTATCACTTTATCGAAGTGTTCAGATTCAGTTAAAAGCAGATAAATTTGGAGTTTATCAAAATCTGAAGAACCGAAAAGGAAAACCTAAAGATATGAATGTAGTGGAGCTTTGGGCTGAGAAGAAAGCTAAAAAAAGACTAAGAAATACATACTTAAATCGAATTGATAAATATAACCAGAAGCGACTTGCATCGAAGCCAATCAGTCATACACCAAAAACGAAGTTTGCTAAGAGACCGTCTCTCATTTCTACCGATTTACAGGATAAGATAAGCCATGTTTCGAAAGAAAGGTTTGAGTCGACTTTGTATGATGTTTTACCCTCGTCCTCACCTTTGAAATGTGTCAATATTTTTGCGGAAAATGTTTCTCTAAAATATATAGCTATGAAAAAGAACGTATCGATGTCTCCAATTAATATATTTACAAGTGTAACATTCGATAATTCTTCCAATACTTTATCAACATCGAAGCAAATAAAGCAAGCATCAGAAGTCGAAAATATTCAAAAAGAAAATTTTGAAAATAATCTCAGATCAACTACTTTTGAAATGTTTGATTCATCCTCACCTCGTCGACTTCATCAATTCGTTATGATTGAGCAATGTCCCATCACCTGGCCTACGTTTGGTATCAAGAATAAAATATTTAAAGGTTCGATTTCGTTTTATTTAAGCTTTGATTTATAAAGTACAAAATGATTCTTTTCAGGTCGAAGATATTCCGTAACCATAACCAATACATGCAATATTGATTCTCCTCTATTTGCCATGTATGTAATGTTTCTGACGGAACCAATGATAAACAACATCATCTTAAATTCCAACAAAGAACCGTTCCTTTCGCTCCGTAAAACGTTATTATTAGTTGAATCAGACGGCTGGGATGAGGCCAGATTACATTGGCTAACTACTCATAATCTTCTTACACATCGACAGACAATAGAACATAATGCATATGGATCTGTTGATGGAAATTCTTTACGCTTTATTAAAAATCCTGCTCAACTTTATCGAACAAATTACATCTGTTCGAGACAGAATTGTCCAACCCGTGAACGTATAAGCACAAGTGCTGATTTATCTCTGGAGTAAATAATTGACCTTATTACTGAAACGTTTGTATAGTGAATTGCTGAAATAGCGCAGCGATTTGGTTTGAGCCCTGAGCAATAGTATTTTTAGTATCTATTAACGAAATTGTGCAAAAAAATAATTTTAGAGCAACTCTTCAGTTTTTCAATATACTTCTATCTTCTAATCTTACGATAATTCTTTATTATATGACACTCTGACTATGACTTGGAATAAACTACTAAAAAGACATCTGTTGTTTAGGTGTTGGGAAACTGTTGTTTCGAAATTTTCACATAAAACCACATCCTTCTGTGGTAATTTCGTTAAGAATATCAATGAAATTTCACACAAAGAAGCAATCCGACTTCATTATGAACGACACACAAGAGAAGTCGAGAATATTCATACAAATACAATCGAAAAAGAGTAAGTTTAATTGTATTTTATAATAATATTTCAAATTGAATTTGCAGAGACGGCTGGCTGTGTAATGAAGAAGTGGTTGCTGAGCCATCAAATTTTATTCATGGTCCTCCTCCATTCCTTTTCGTGGACATTCTCCATCCCACTATGAATGATCCAAATAGTGAGGGAATAGTACAAGTAGATGATAACTTCCATGATATTCAACAAAATATTACAATTGGCTTATTAACGTAAGTAATCATACATAACATCTTCATTTTTACACATTTTAATTGTTCAATTCGAATTATTTTGACCATAGTCGTAGGAAAGTAAAAGAACTTGTGAGTCAATTGCTTCGCATAGTTCTTTGTAGAATGCGCGCTGATAGAGTGATCCTAAATCTGTTTCGAAAACGATCTAGCTAATTATATCTTTCGCATATACATAATGTTTCACTACTTTGACATTCTTCTCAGCGTCCAAGTTGAAGCAGTATTGGCTATGACATGAGCTTTTCATTCCTATCAACAAAAAGCATCGATCTTCAGAAAATACAAAACAAAAAAAGTTATTTGAAAAGGGCCAGAAAAAGATCCTCTAGAAACTCATTCAAACCAACCAATTACAAACAAAGAATCTGCTGACAAACCTCGGAACGAAGCTCCAACTAATTTACAGAACGAACATGATTGGTTTCACCTAAAGCACTGATCCTCCGAGGAAGTGGCCTACACTAAAACAAATCCAATGACGCCATTCATCAAAGCTCATTGTCTTGTATTTGGCACAGAAATAGAACAATGACAATAGATGACGACCGAATCGAAAGTGAAATGTCTATATGCTGACTCTTTTCCACAGCTTTGTAGATGTATTTTGGGATAGTTGAAAATGTAGTAACAGTTATTGAAAATCTAATTATAATATTCAAAGTGGCTCACCAATTTATATTTCAAACACAATTCGACAACGTAGGACATGTCATTCGGCATATCACCGTCAATTTTACTCTACGACTTAAAGACTGGGGCCGCCTTTTCAGATTGTTCGACACAGATCTTGGGCTAAAGGAACTCCGAATATACCATTCCATAAAGCTCATCGAGTTGTACTTAGAACATAAATGCCACACTTGGAGCATATTTCTACATGAATCGTTTGTCCAATTAGTTCCCCATTTCCCATTTGCCACCACTATTTAGAGATTTCTGGAAATTCACATTGAACTTTGGAAAAACCGAATCCACCATTCGATACAGCTCCTCGAGTTACATTTGAAACTCCAATGGAACACTTGCAACCTGTTCCTGAACGAATCCGCGGTGGAATTACTATGGTGATGAGTCATTTCTCAGACTTTTTGGACAGGTATTTTGGGGTTTGCGAATACATAATTTGTGCTATGGAAAATCCGAATAGACTCTTCGATAGATCTCATCGAACTGTACGTGAAATTCGTTTGGAACACTTGGAACATGTTCCTGAACGAATCCGCGGTGGAATTACTATGATGAGGAGTCATTTCTCCCACTTTTGGACAGGTATTTTGGGGTTTGCGAACATATAATTTGAGCTACGTAAAACCCGAATACATCATTCCATAAGGCTCGTCAAACTGTACTTCGAACTCATTTGGAACACCTGGAACATGTTCTTGGGCGAATCGGTGGTAGAATTACTATGGCGATGGGTCATTTCTCAGACTTTTGGACAGGTATTTTGAGGCTTGCGAACGCACAATTTGAGCTACGTAAAACCCGAATACACCATTCCATAAGGCTCGTCAAACTGTACTTGGAACTAATTTGGAACACTTGGAACATGTTCATGGACGATTCGGGGGTAGAGTTACTTGCAGGTTTTGCATTTTTGGAGAGTATTCAGGCGTTTCTGGAAACTGCCTTCTAGCTACACAAAATCTGAATAAACCATTCGATAGAGCTCGTCAAACTGTACTTGGAACACATTTGGAACACTTGGAACATGTTCTTGGGCGAAACCGTCGTAGAATTACTATGGTGATGGGTCATTTCTCAGACTTTTTGGACAGGTATTTTGGGGTTTGCGAATACATAATTTCAGCCAAGTAAAACCCGAATAGACCATTCGATAAGGCTCGTCAAACTGTCCTTGGAACTCATTTGGAACACTTGGAACATGTTCATGGACGAATCGGCGGTAGAGTTACTTGGCGGTTTTGCATTTTTGAAGAGTATTCAGGAATTTCTGGAAAGTGGCTTCAAGCTACAGAAAATCTGAATACACTATTTGATAGAGCTCATCGAACTGTACTTGGAACTCATTTGGAACACTTGGAACATGTTCTTGAGCGAATCGGTGGTAGAATTACTATGGTGATGGGTCATTTCTCAGACTTTTTGACAGGTATTTTGAGGTTTGCGAACACATAGTTTGAGCTACGGAAAATCCGAATAGACTCTTCGATAGATCTCATCGAACTGTACGTGAAACTCGTTTGGAACACTTGGAACATGTTCCTGAACGAATCGACGGTGGAATTACTATGGTGATGAGCCATTTCTCCCACTTTTGGACACGTATTTTGGGGTTTGCGAACACGTAATTTGAGCTACGTGAAATCCGATGGCACCATTCGTTAGGGCTCGCCAAACTGTACTTGGAACACAATTGGAACAGGTGGAATATGTTCCTGGGCGAATCGGCGGCAGAATTACTCGAATCGGACGCTAACTTCACCTACGTCTAAATTAGCAGTATTCCCAAGATAAAACAATGTACATTGAAATTATTAGATCAAGCTATTGCAAAAGCTCATTGAAACAACGACAAAACATTGGAAACTCATCTTAAAGATATATTACATGAATTATAAAACCAACTACTAAACCACTTAACCTCCACCATCATTCCTCCTATTCTTCTTTTTTTTCTGTTTTTTTTTATTTCAAGACAAAAGACACATGTCAAGAGTCTCTCCGCATCCCCAGCCTTTTTGTTTTGTTTGTAACGTCTAATAATCGAAATAAATAAAGGCTTTGAAATCCGAAATCCGAAAAATGTCATATAACGTAAGAGCAATGTTGATTGATTTAATTTAAATAAATTATTTATTATTATTAAATTTATTTTTTTCTTTTGTGACATTTAAAAACAAA